ACGTTGTTTTCCATGCTGTGGTGACCTCAGAAAACTAAATTCCTCTGACTTGACTGATCTGATACCATGTTTGAAATCTAATTGATTTATTCTTATTTTAATTTATTCCTAATAACCTACAACAGGCTGTTTTAATAGGATTTTTTAACTGATTCGTTGTAGTAAAATTAATCAAACGTAAGCCTATAAAACATTAACTTGAAGCTGTAGGGAGTCTATCAGGTGTGCCTTTGATTTCTAGGAAACCTGATGGCAGTAGTTCTACAGGTTCTAAACCGCAGTTTTACAGAATGTTATTCCGACTCCGGTAGGGAGGGATGTTTTAGTTCAGCTTTTTCAGAAGAAAAAAAGACATCAGTCTGTTCTTAAGTACCGGTAGGTTGTTTTCCCTGCATCAGTTCTCTAGCCGTCACATTCCTACATTTTTTTTTTTTTCGTTTCTATGGTATCATCCACAAATTAAAAGATCCCGGTTTGAAATAAGAAAATTAAAAACAATCCACTGGACTTTGTTTCCAAGTTTTGAAGTAGTTTCGCCTCCCATCCAAGAAGCAGTTTTTTCAATTCAAAATGTCAGGAATAGCGTCGAGTTTAAAGTTTTATACCGTAGTCCAACAAAGCCTTGTTTTTGTTTTGAAAACATGCAAATGGAAACGGACGAAGGGGTCCACACCTTTGGAATGTCCTTTGTCCATAAGGTGGAAAAAGGATGTTCTTTTGAGGACCAGAATGTTCACATTTTGGAAAAAGAAGATGGGTGGTTTGAGAGGGGCGTGAAGGGAGCCATCTATGTTAAAAAAAAAAGAAAAAAATCAACCTTAAACAGAGGGGGTGGATGTAGGTTTCTGCTTTCAAAAACCTACAATTCAGCAATTGAGTTAATCCCTTCCCCCTATCATCGCAACCCCACCCCCTGAAAAGGAGAGTGGAGGATCTCATCTATTCAGCCAGGCCAGCAATCCCCTTCAATGACTTACCTTTCAGACATTTAGACGGGTATGGGGCATTGCAGGCTAATAAAAGAAGCCAAACGACTCCCTTTCCAAATGGGTGGAGCCCTTCATCGTTTTCAATTTGCATGAAAACTCAACGCTATTCCTAATATTTTGAATTGAAAAAGCTTCTTGGATGGGAAGCGAAACGTCTTAAAACTTGGAAACAAAGACCAGTGGATTGTTTTTAATTTTCCTTTTTTTGGAATGACTATGACCTGGATGACTGAGAATCAATAATATGTTGCCCAAAGTAAGTCAGTAATATGAATGCTAAGGACCGAGCACACAGCCTTGAGGAATCCCAATGTTAAGGTCTAAAAATGCTAACATTTATCCTTTTTGATGCCATTTTTCTTTGTTATCCTCTGACATGTAAATATTAGAAACGAGGTGCACTACGTGTATTCATGTTGTTCTATCTAGGGCTGGGCAATTAATTGCATTGGCAATATAATTGCAATTTAACAACAGGCAATTTTCAAATCGCAGAGGCAATCAATTTTGGTCACATTGCAGTTAATTAGAGGAAGACATTGCATTTCTCACTCAGCCCTTTAGGTGGCAGTAATATGCTTAAAAAGTTGCGCAACAGTGGACTTCGGACAAGCGAGCTTTCAAGTTCGTGAAAAAAACTTGAAACCCTGAAAGGAAACATCTAAATGCTCACGATAAGGCAAGGCAAAGGCAAGGCAAATTTATTCGTATAGCACAATTCAGTACAAAGACAATGCAAAGGGCTTTACATGATTAAAATACAGGAAGATAAAACAGAATCAAAGCTAGTAGGGGAAAAAAATACAAAAATAAATAAAATAAAAAATGCAGAAACAAAAGAAAATCTAAATACAATAACAATAATGGTTAAAAATAATTAAAATGTAGATTTTTGGCAAAGTTGTTCAGCCCTAGTTACATCAGCCTCTAAAAGACTTTCCTTGTGTTTAAAAAAACCATCAGTTTTGCATGCAGCTGTCTAATTATAATCACACCTTTACTGTTTTTCTTTGGGTCACAATGTTTTTGTTTGTCTGTTTCCCCTATCTGTCCTTTGTGTCTTTGCACGCCTTCCCTCATGTTTTTGGATGGATGGAACGCTCTTCTTCTGTCCCTCCAATAAGGACTCTTTAAAGGGCCGCCACGTCCATCTCTCTACCAAGGCGGGCAGCAGGAGCCAAGCCAGTGAGGCAGGAGCTGGTGCTACCACCCCTGAGCCTGAAAGCATAGCGGAGCGGTCAGAGAAGGAGGCTGGGGGGGAGTTAAGTGAGGTGGAGAAAAGGGAAGATGGAAATAAAAAGAGAGCAGAGAGAGAAAAGGTGGAGAATGAGAGAAAGGATGAGACAAAAGCAGTGAAGCAAGATGATTTAGGGAAAGAAGTGGAAAAGGAAGAAGGGGAGGAGCGTATAAAACTGAGTATAAGCGATGAGGTAGAGGAGGAGTTCTGTGTCGGTGAAGCTGAAGAAGTTTCAGGGAGGACGAGTCCCAGCAGTGGGCAGAAAAGGAGCGAACGAAATGAAAAGGACATTAATGAGGAGATGGAAAGACGTGTTGAGAGCCAGAATGATGAAAGCAAGGATGTAGTGGATGAGAGGGAAGGAGAGAAAGACGCAGACGAGCCAGAAATCGAGGAGGACATTTCAGAAGAAGGTCTGAACTCTAACCAGGATGGTTTTGAAAATGAGGAGATGGAGAAACCGGAGATGGAGAGAAACCTGAATGATGAATCCCAGGGTGAGAATGGGAAGGAAGAGGAAGGAAAGAACCATGAAAGGATGCAGAAAGCTTACGAGGAGGGCGAGAGTGGCGAGGCTCTGGAAGGATGTTCAATAAGCCACCGAAAATTTACAGAGACTCCAGAGGAGGTGTCAGAAAGGTTTGTTCAGAGCGAAGGTGAAGGGATGTGGAAGGAAGGGGTGAAGATAGAAGATGAGTCAGGAGGCCGAGCTCCATCAGGAGCATCGGAGAGTGAAGAGGAAGCCGTTGAAGTGTTTAAAGCAGGGCCGTCTGACGCCCAGCCAGCCGGGCTAGGAGAGAAAACAGAGGTAGGGTTTGGTTTCACCTCTGTGCTCCTCTAGTCTCTGCAAGCAGGTGCATGAAGCTCCCCACCTCCAACTCCAGTGTTTTATGGGCTGAGTTGTGTTGCTGTGAGTTTTCTGTCTGGGTGTCATCATGCATGGAAGTAGATTAACCTTGTCAAAGGATAATCTGCTTGTGTCCTTGAGAACTGGATTGGAAAGTTTAGTTCCCTGCTTCCATTGGTAGAACAGACTAGCTGTTTGTTTAACGTTTTATCTGAGCTGTTAAAGTCAGAAAAGGGTCCTTCATGTCACCGCTGCTACCACCATGCTTTGCTTTTAAAAGGCTTAAGTCCTGCTCTGCATAGTCTTAATTGAGTATTTGTTGTCTGCGTATCTATTTTCATGCAGGCTAGAAATCCTAACGTTCCACTGAGTTTGTTTGTGTTTTTTCAGGAGCTCAATAAAAATGTTGCGGGAATTTCTTCCTCCCTGGATCAAAAGGTAATCTGACCTATTCTGATCTACTCCTGTATAAACACGGCTGGGTCATCTTTAAGGTCTCTGTCTTTTGCAGAAAGTTCTAGACATCAACGATGCGTCAGACACAATCAGTCCGCTGGAGAAAGATGAGAGAGACGAACTGGGACAAGATAAAGATGGGAAGAGAAACGCCGAGACCTCAAACAGGTTTGATGGTTGATTGTTAAAGCTGGTTTAAAGCAAGGAATTTTTTTTTTTTTTTTTTTTTTTTTTTTTTTTTTTTTTTT